GGGGGGGGGGGTACCGGAGTGAGGTGGGAGAGTGGGGTGGCGGGGGTGGTGAGGTATGGATGATGGGTGTGTTGGTTGGTGGCTGTGGCTGTGGCTGTGGCTGTGGCTGTGGCTGTGGCTGTGGCTGTGGCTGTGGCTGTGGCTGTGGTGGTCGGCTCGTCGGTCGGTTCGTCGGTTCGTCGGTTCGTCGGTTCGTCGGTCGGTGGGTGGTGGCTGGTTGGCTGGTTGGCTGGCGGCAGGGCGAGGGCGAGGGCGGAGGACACGTTTCTTCTGCTTGGCGTGCAGGAGAGAGATGGCGGATGCAGCGGCTACGCTCGAGTATGACGAGGCTGATGTGGCCATGGATGTGGAAGGAGGAAGCGGAGGTGCAACAGGGGCATGGGGCCAGCTGCACTCGCTCAACCATGCCTATCCCTCCATTGACTTGACCGATGGCGAGGTGACCTTTGGCAGGGCTTCCATCTGCACCCACCAGTTCGACGTCAACCTCATCTCCGGCACGCACTGCAAGCTCCACAAGGACCCCACAGGCGCCGTGATTGTCGAGGACAAGTCGTATGTCATCATTCTTGGTCGTGGGAGGGGATAGGGCTTGCTCTCTCGGCATGGTGGCTCCCGGTGGGCGTGGGGGTGAGGGTGGTGGGGGGGAAGGGGGTGGTGGGGAGGGCGGCGAGTGCTGGTTTCTGCGACCTTTTTTTGCCACTGCCCGGCCCGTCTTTGGCTGTGGCCGGATGGCCGTGGTGGTTGCTGGCCATGGCTGGCCTGGCCTGTTCGTCGCCATACTCACACACACGGCGCTTGATGTGGACGGACAGATCGAACGGGACATTCATCAACGGGAAGAAGATCGGACGGAACAAGACGGCATTGATCAAGCAGGGCGACAGGCTGCAGTTTCTGCTGAAGCAGAAGAACATGGAGCCGATCGAGTATGTGTTCAAGCTAGTGGCCGGGTCTGTGGATGCGGGGACACACTCGTTTGTGGAGGAGAGGTACGACCTGGAGCGAGTGCTGGGGAAGGGCAACTTTGCCGAGGTCCGGCTCGGCCTCTCGCGGCGGAGCGGGGAAAAGTACGCGGTGAAGATTGTGGACAAGACCAAGTTCCTATCGCTGCAGCAGCGGGCGGGCGCACTGCTCGACGAGGTCAACATCCTCAAGTTCCTCTCCCACCCCAACATTGTGTCGCTCGAGGAGACGTTTGAGACGGAGAAGCACCTGTATCTGGTGCTGGAGCTTGTGAGCGGCGGCGAGCTCTTTGACGTCATTGTCAACGCCGAGCGGCTGTCCGAGGCGCTCTCGCGCAAGCTGTTTGTGCAGATGCTCGACGCTGTGGCGTATCTCCATGAGCAGGGCATTGCGCACCGCGACCTCAAGCCGGAGAACATTCTCATCGGCGAGGGCGACGTGGTCAAAATCTCTGACTTTGGCCTCTCGCGCATCACGTCGAAGAGCTCGGTCATGGGCACGGTGTGTGGGACGCCTCAGTACCTCGCGCCCGAGATTCTCAAGTCGAAGGAGCACAACGACGGGTACAACGTTGCCGTCGACATGTGGTCGCTCGGTGTCATTCTCTATGTCATGCTCTCGGGCATGCTCCCCTTTGACGACAACCTGCCCATGTCGGTGTTTGAGCAGATCCAGCGCGGCCTGTACTCGTTCCCGGACACGTTCTGGTCGTCGGTCTCCGAGTCGGCCAAGGACCTCTGCCGGCGGTTGATGCAAGTCGAGCCGAGCGCCCGCTGGACGGCCAAGCAGGCGCGCGCCCACCCGTGGTGTGTCGACAAGTCGCTCACCGCCACGCCGATCCCGATCGCGGACACCTTTGCCTCTGTCCGCACCGAGCCGGTCCCCCGGTACCGCGGTCACGCGACGCTCCGCGTCATGATCAAGGCGGCCATCATGGAGCTTGCCGAGCCGCGCGGCTCGGCGCCCGACGACATCGCCGCGTTTGTCTCGGCCAACTACGCCGACGCCGAGACGACCGGTGACGCCCTGAAGCCCAAGCTGGACGGCCTAGTCGCTGATGGCGTTCTCGCTGCTGCCGCTGGTGGCAAGTACAAGCTTAAGATGGGCAAGCGCAGCCGCGGCCGCAGGCGGTAGCCGCCGCAGCCAACAAGTTGAACACAACCGACTCACAGCTACAGATCCTTCCCGAGCGCGCGCCGGCGCTTGCGGGCGGACGGCAGGCCTCCGCCGGCCAGAGCGCTTCCGGCCGTGGCGGCGTCC